TAAAATATTCTATAATATTCGAATGATTTTTAAGTTATAAAGAATTTAATAAAATAGAATTTAGTTATACGAATATTTTATTATTATTTTTTAAAAAAATCTTTTATGGTTTAATGTTTTCCGGACGTTATCATTTTTAGCTGAATAACCTCAATTCTTTTTAATTATAGAATACTTTAATATAAAATCTTTCATAAATTTTCAAGGAGTCTAATATAAATTTATGAAAATTTGTTAATTTACTCATATTTTTTTATTATTTTATCAATTTTTAAATTGTCTTTTAAAGTTTTTAATTTATGAAGAAGTTTATTTATGTAATGATAATGTATCGTAATGATAATGATATCACTTAATCACTTATTAATCATCGTCTTGTTTCTTAATAATATTTTTTAATTATGATATAATTTCTTAGTAATATTTATTAAATGCCTATTGTTTTTTAATCTATTGATTATTATCACCATTATATGCCGTTAACTAATCCTTGGCTGCCATATGGATTCATTTCCTTCAAATCAGTTCTATTCAACATCGGAATTCTTATTTTTTATTAATTATCGTCTTGCGATCGTCTTCTTAATTTTATCTCCCCATTTATGGTTATATTATATATCATTTATTTACTTTTTGCTTTTATTCCTTATCTAATGGCTGTATCCACTGACCATTAAGGCCAAGGCCAAGCCATTATGTTAGAGAGTCGTTTAGGAATAAAGTTGCAGATAAGTATAAAAAGATAATCGAATATCACTTCAAAATGGCATGTTTAGAAGATTAAAAGATTAATTTAAAAATATGACCAAAATTATAACCTTAATTATAGCCATAGCAATTTGTCAACCAAGACGCATGGCTAGTTTAACGTCATCTTAACGCTTGTTTTATTCGTCGTAAGCTCGTTGATTAATGACGTTTCAGATTTTTCAGGTATCAATTTAATCATTATTAATTGAAACAAAAGAAATGTTTTCGCTGTTATTTATCACCCTCTTTTTTTGCGGTTTATCGTATTCTGAATGCAAGCGGTTCCGCGGTAAGATCCCTCTATTAAATTTTTTCATAAATATTTCATTATTTGTCCTTATGCAAATTTTTTTTTTTTTTGGTGACAATATTTATCAATACAATATTATTATTATCATATCATATACTGACCAAGCCTGTTTTTTCCTTATCAGATCAGAGCAAAACTCTTTTTTTCCTTTTACTATCCCTATTTATCGCTTATTATCTACATCATAATCCATAAATCCATTTTCGCTAAGCAATCAAACATTTAGCTGGAATTATGAAAAAAATTCAGCGTTGATTTTTTTTCCTACAATAATTATTAAAATTCTCTCACATATCATATTTTTATTTATATTTATTATTTTTATTTATATTTTTGCTATTTGCTAAAAGATTATCGAAGATTTTGCCTGTTATTTTTGCCTGTTAATGCGAATCATAAAATCTCTCACTAAAAATTATCGAATCAAAAAAATAATAAAATAAGATTTCAGACAGCGATTTCTATCGTCAGTTTTTATTTCGAGGCAGCTACGAACCATTGAAAAATTACTTAAACGTAAATTATTAGCTATTTTCTATAATTTATTTAATTAACAAATAAAAATAATAAAAAAAGAAAAATAGTTTTTTTTTTGTATAATCAACAAATATAAGTGAAAATTTCAATAATAAAAAAATGCATCTAAATTATCATAAAATTATCATTTGCATATGCGCGTATTGCATAATTGCTTGAACGATTAATAAACAATGAATTTTTTCTTAATTAAACTATTTTCAATTGAAAAGGAAAAAAAAAGAAAATGAAATGAATAATTTAAAGTATATTTTTTCGAAAAAAATTGTTAAATTTTTTGCGACTTATTTTATAGGTTTTCAACTAAGAATAATTAAATTTTTATATATTTAAATATTATATATATTTATATATTTTATAATATTAAATTTTATAATATTTTATATTTAAATTCATAAAATCCAAATTTTACAAATTTATTAGTTTCATCTGCCAATGGAAAGACATAATAAAGAAGAAAGTGTAAAATCATTTTTATGTTTTTTTTTTTATTATCTTTTCACATTCGCTTAGGCTGATTGCATTGTATTACGAATTGAGCTAAGCAAATTTCGCTAGTGAAGTCATTTGGCGATAGAAATACAGGTGAATGGACAGTACGATCTGGATTTTTGGAAGATATCTGGTTTATTCCTGCTGAGATTAGAGCCATAGGAACGATGCTCCGAAATGACAACAATAATCCACTGAGGCATTTTCCCATCCAAACCTACATTATACCTACGTTTTTATTAGACAAATGAGGTAGATAGATAATAATGAAAGTCATAGTAGATAAAGGAATTAAATTTGTTTTCTTTTGCTTGGCAAAATAATTTATTATTTTTGATTAAAATTATGAACTAAAAACAAAACTTGGCGATGGAAAAAAAGTTTTTAAAAATTTTAAAAGTGGAAATGAATAAAAATTGACAAAAAATTTAACGGAAAATAAAAATTTTTCCGAAAAAAATTTAAATTCCTTTTTTTTTTATTCCTTATTTTGGCATAAAAAAGAAAATCTTATACGTTTTCAACTCCATTCGAGAACATCGTAATACCCACTAATATCACTTTTATGCCTTTCATTTACTTTTATTTATTTACCTATTTTGCCTTACTGTATGGACTTAGACGATGGAAAAAAGGAATGGTTTTTACTACTTTTAGAGATTAGACCCATAGGAACGAGGCTCCGAATGGCTTTTTAGAGATAGCGTTGGACTAAACAATTTGGAAACACCCTAGCCTTGTAACTTGTGAGGCTAATCTGACCAGTTATGGTGAAAGCTGTGAGAAGAAAAAAAATAACCATTAATGTGGAGTTCACGAAATTTGAGATAAGGATGAGTGGTAATTAATGGGTCGAAGAGAGGAATAAATCCATAGTTTTTCCCAATTTCTCTTTTTTAAAAAACCTGCTATTAATAATTTATTTTTTTATTCCGCTATTTTATTTTAACGATAAATATTTTATAAAATATTTTTTAAATAATAAAGAGAAATTATCACTTTTTAAAAAATTTGATAATTTTGATAATTTATTTTGAATTGATAAAAATAAATTTCAGTTCGATGAGAACTATATTTCAAAGCGCATTCCTAGTGCTGCTGATATGATGATTCGTTTCGGAAAACGTTTTCATCCATTGAGTTATGAATATGAATGAATGAAAAGACGGTGATCGGAACAGTGCAGTGATAATAATCATGAAAATAATTTTATTAACATTCATTCCTTGCTATCTGAAAATTCATTTTTTTCTTTTCCTCATCAATTTTATTTTATTTTTTTGTATTACTAAAATTATTTGAAACAAATAATAATAATTTTTATTCGCTAATTCTTCTTGAATTACGTTTAAAAATCTTGGCAACAAATTTTATTCTTTTATTAAGTAAAGGTAATATTAATTTGTTTCACCGATTCATTCAAATCCTCTGTAGAATATTTCATGGAATATTTCAATTAAAAAATTGTGAAATTAAAATTATGAGATGATGGAACTACAAATGATTTTAAGCACTATAGATTTAGTACTCTTTCTTTGAGAGAAGTGAAAACTATTCAATGAAAATGAAATTAGAATGGTCCTTATGGCTCATTTTATACTTTGTTTTATTCACGTTTGGTCAATGAGCCTCTTTTTTCGAGGATACATGGGGCTAGAAACGTTACCATTAAAATAACACTCGATAAAAGGTTGTGTCAAATATTTGCCAAATTACGAATCACCAAGGAATTGTTCAATTTACTGCAACAAACTTTTCATTTCCTAGGATTAAATCTTTAAAATTAAAAAAAATCGCTTTTCGCTTTTCGAATATATCTTTTTCATATAAATTTTAATTTATTTTTATAGAAATTTATAATTTATTTTTATTTTTATCAAAAATATGAAAGTACAAAATGGCAATTTTTGTTACATTCAAAGGAATTTTCTTCAGAGGAATTTAATATGAATTTAATAGTTTTTAATTTATCAAATAGGATAATAAAAGAAATACAAATAAAAAAAACAACTATTAACAACTATTAATACTTTTTTATAAATTTTTCTTCCTTTTTTATTTCTAAAAGAATTAGGAATAATGCGAATTTTTAGAAAATTCCTCCCTTCCTATTTGCACCAATTTGACACCAATTTGACACCAATTCGGCACCAATTCGAGCTCATTCCTTTTATCGATAATCCAATTATAACAAATTTAAATTCATCATTTTTATTATAAAATTGTTCAATTCAATTTTGGTTCGCTACCAAATGACTTATCGATTGTTCGTTTATTTATAGTACTAAAATTGCCTTAAAAATGGCCTTAAGCGATATAGTTAATTGTTATTCTTGGCAAATTTCTTTCGTAAATTTTTAGTATTTTTAGAGTTTTAAGGGAATAGAATTTTAATTTAGCTCGAAAAATTTTTTATAATTAAAATAATTAGTGTTCATTTAGTTCATTTAATTCAGATAAATAAATACAGTGGTTGCATTTGTTTAAGGAATAGTCAAAGCGAAATTTTCTTCGAACGTTGACTGTTCTGATAATTGATAATTGATAAGAGAAACGCTGGATCATTGTTATTATTTAAAATCAGATTTAAAATTTAATCCCAATTATAAAAATTTTTAAAATAGCATAGTTTTATATTGGCTGCTTATATATATATATATATATATATATATATTAAATATTAAAATATCAATATTTGTTTTCATAGCTATATAGAAATTAGTGGAAAATAAGATAAAAATATAAAAAAAATGATTTATTGAAGCAACTCTAAATTTCAGGCATCAGTCGTAATCTGAGGTCTAATTTATCACAGAAAATCCTTCCTTATCGAGCTAAACTATATCAATCCATTTTCAAACAGTTAATTTAACTGTATTATTTGACTTCAAAATCTTCAGATATATTTCAATTAACATAAATGCATTTTAGCGCAAACATCATATGGTTCCATATTTTCTTTAAGCCATTTTAAGAAATCTTCATCGGCTTTAATTGCTGCATCACAAATTTGCTGCACAATATCATTGTTAGTTTTCTTGGCACACCATTTTTCAAGTTGCTATAAATAAAAAATCATATTTTTTAAATTATTTCTTTATTTCTAACTGAATAGGCCTTAAGAGAATTAGGCCTTTCTATTTTTTTTTTTTGTTCTAAATATTTTGTAGGCCACGTTACCATTTTTTATCATCTTTTGGTAATAAATTGAGAATAAATGTAGTAATTTTTCACCTTTCTAGTACATTCACCAACTTTCTGCATATGATCTCGAACATCACCAATAAATTTTTCGCATACATCACAAAATGTACCGTTATTCATTGCTCGTGAAACAACCATAGCATCACTAACAATGAAGCACATAGCAATAAAGACAATAAGGAATCGCATGATTACTAGGAATTCCTTCATTAATAATAATATTAATTTTTCGAAATTTCCAAACAATATTTTTCTGAATCGATGATTTGCGAAATTTAATACTGAATCATGCAAAAGGATTGGTGGGTCATTTACTTAGAATAAACTACTTTAAATATCAACTGTGCACTTCGCTTCTTGATTAGACCTTTTTGGTTCCTTTCGAGACCAAGCTCACAACGATTGCGAATGAAACCAGTATTTGTAAATTCACTATATTTGTTTCTCTTCGATCATTCAGTGAAACATTCATGATAAAGGATTAAGTCAATGACTCAGATTTTCTTTTGAGAATCAATGACTCAGTGGCTTTCTTCAACTGGATTGAATATGGTTTTTATGGCTTTAAAAAATATCCTCATTGATAAGATTTTTATCAAGACATATAGTTGCTATTAAATGATTTAGCTTAGTTGATTTTTCAAATAAATGAAAGCTTCCCTTAGGGAATTTAAAAATTTCAAATTTATTTCAATTCAATCGTTTTCAATATATCAAATATGATAAGAAAATAACTATAAATATAGGAAAGAAACAAATATTAAAATGAAAAAAAAAATAAGATATTCTCTACCATTTCTATTTTACGAGTGAAGTAAAACTATCTGGAAATTGTGAGTGTAAACCATTCGAATTGAGTTCAGCACCTACTTGTGAGAAAATATCCTCGTGGTTATCCAAACGAGTCCAAAAATGATGAGAATCATTATTTGTTATTACTGTTTAAAAAGCCTTTATTTCACAAAAACATTAAAAATTCTTGATCTTATCAAGTCGATAAAAAGCTGGATAAATAATTAATAATTCAATAAATGTATGCTTTGTTCATTTGCAGAAATTAATAGGTGATTATAAGTAATAGAAAAAAATTAAAGTATTAAATTTTTTATCACTAAACTGATAATTATTTCTAAGAATGGGATGCGAAGAATCTTATATTTAAGTGATTTTTTTCATATTTTATATTTTAAATTGAAATCCAATTAATTTTTATTTTATTATAATTTTTATTGCTTTTACAAATGATAAAAATTAGAAAATACTAAAAATGCTAAAAAAAACTAAATAACCATAAAATAAATTGTATTTCTAAGAAAAGTAAAGGAGAGAAAAGCTACCATTCACTTTAAACGCGTCTGCTTAAAATATTTTGCTGCTTAAAAACAAATTTTATCTATCATACAATGGTTTTTTTTTCGACCAAAGTATGAGCAATACTTTGATCCTTCAAATAATTCTTATCATTTGGTGATTAAATTATGCAGTGAAAAAGTTCGAAAGGAGAGATTATAAACTTTATGAATCATTATTAATATAATAATTTATAAGAAATCTATTATTTCAGCGCAATAATTATTAAAATTTTTTTAAAATTTAAAAGTTTAAAGTTTAAAAAAAGTTTAAATTTAAATTTCGCATTTTTATAATAAAATATTTTCATTATTTTTTCGTATCTAAATTAAATTTTAGAAATTTGAAATAAAAAATTTTTTCTCAAATATTTTCTAAAAATTATAAATTTTTTATTGAATGAATAAAAAATTCCCTTCTTATCAAAATTTTAGTCAAAAATTTTTTAGTCTAATATGTGATTGGTACTGTAAAAATACAACATTAAACGATCATTTTGTTTGATAAAATTTGAAATTATTATAATAATTCTTTATTATTATCATTGTTATAACTGATAAAGGATTGATTCAAAATGTTTGCTACAAATTTCTAATTTTTAAGTTATTGTCTCTCTTAAACTAAAATCTATGAATATAAGTTCATAGTTCACAATTGAATTAGAATGACAAATGCATAATTTATAATATAAAATAGATCTGATATTGTTGGCAGAAAAAAATTGAAGAACCTGAAAAAAGTTGATTAAATTAAAGGAAAAAACAATTCAGACCAATTAATTCAGAATTTTATGCAACTGGAAAGTAGAATGGCTTAGTGAATTATGCTCTTATTTCTACTCCAAATAGCAGCAAGCAAATATAAACCATTTAAAATCTTTCGAGACAGCTTGGCGATTCACTTGTATTTATCGCTTGATGATTCCTTGGGAAACATGCGTGGTCAGAGAAATCAGCGAATAGAGACAAAAATGGCTCTTAGAAAAAAAATCTCATGCTACTCCTTTATGCAATGATTTATTTACTTCAAATATGCCAAGCAGTCCTTTGGTGATAAAAGTACCGATGAGTTACTAGACACAATCCACTAGCTTTAATTTCGTTTTGCTTTTCTCTGCTTGGCGAAATGTCGCCAAACGAAGAATACTGCTTAGAAAACTCGAAGTTAAGGCTCGATTTACGGCAATTAGCCATCTTCATCCATCGACGCACCCGTGGTGTTTTGCAGCTATTTTATTACACTATATTTTCATGCAAAAAACTAATGAATATTAATAATTTCCAAAAATTTGAAATACTTGTTGAATTATCTGAAAAAAAAAATCGAAAAGATGATATAATATGATTTTTAAGAATGAGTAAAACTGTTTATCTCATAATTTTTGCGTCGTTTTCTTAACAGGTAAAATTGCAAATATGCTAACTATTTCTGCTTTATTATCAATTCGAGAGTCTTAACATTATCATGAAGGATGATATCAAAAAAACTGATAAGAATAGCTTAAAAAGTTCACAGCAATATTATCAGTGGCAATTAAATAAAGTAAAAGTGTTCAGCACGTTTTCAATAATTTTTTGTCATAATTTTTTGAAAATTTTTCGTAGCACTGTAATATATGATTTTAAATTTATCATTTAGCTATTGAGTTATTTAAATTGTTGAATTGGTGTAAAATGAAGGGAATATTAAAATAACTGAAAAATCTTAATTTTGCAAATTCTATAAATCAATATTTTATAATTTATTTTAATAAGTCGTATTAGCCATAGCACAATGTTATCGTTATATTCTCTGGTGACTCGCACCATTGCAGCTATGATTCGTTCCACTGAAATCTACTCTCTTCTAATCTAAAGTTATTCCTGAAAATAGCCACTCTTAAATCTACCATCTAAGCTCGCAATATCGCTAAGCCGCTTATGCATTCCAATTCTCACCCATAACTGTATCAATCCAGATTTTGATTGGTACTCTTGACGTCATCCATCACAAAGATTAGCAATATGTATTACTGCAATTCAGTTAAATACATGGCCTAACCACCACATTATCAATGATTATTATAAAAGAAATTTTTATCAGGTTCAAAATGCGTATGATTATTGCAATCCTATTATCTTTGGTCGTAATACAAGCAGCTGTGACAAAGGTAGATTTCGATAAATGCAAATTTTGCGTTGACGTGGTGACAGATGTTAAAGAATATCTCGTTAAAGAAGGAAATTCAACAGAAAAAGTTGTTTTTTTTTCAATGATTTTGATAAAATTCCTTTTGTAAAAATCCTTTGCTTAAATTATTTATTAAATTTAATAAAAATTTATTATGTTGTTAAGTTTTTTAAATTTATTTTATATTTTATCAAAAATAAATTCAAATTATCAAATTATCAAATATTGAAATTTTTAGTTTCTGGAAGACCATTGTATAGCGGCCGCAAATAACCATGATTGGAAGAAATTGGTTTGTGAAACATTACTTACTGCGGTTGAAGAATTGCTACGTTTAATTAAAATTCAAATGAATCCGAGTGAAATTTGTCTAAAATTGAAAGCTTGTTAAATTTGCAGTTTTAATAGTCTTTTAAACTCTAAACTCTTTATGGTTTTTATTTATTGCCATAAATAAATAAATTTTCTTGTAAATTTTATGTTTCATAAAGTTAAACGATATTTTAGAATATTTAATTGATTTGATGGAATTTTTTAATGCCTCTTTTTCAATGGCCTTAGGCGAAAGATTTCGACTGCCTAAGGGAAATAATGGTAAAAAAACTAAGCAACGAGAAATAATTTTTTAATTGTTTTTTTAAATTCTAACAGCATACACCACAATTTCTGCTATAGAACAATTGTAAGACTTGCATCGACTCGCTTGGGAATAGAAACATGACATGACATGTGTATCCTATGATTTTATTTGGATTTCATTTCTAATACTGGTCTATTTCCTTTGAAATACAGAGATCGAACTTATGTTGGCTTGTTTCTAGCAAAAGCAATACTCATCATATCCAACAAAGTGTGCAATTAGAGAGGTGAAAATCACCGCCATATGCAAGTATACTTATAAATAGTGGAAATTCACTGATGAACTTGCAAAAAGCTTATCACAGATGAAAATTCTTCTTCCACCTTTATCGAACAGAATTCTCTATTTCTGCTTCTGCATCTACTGGTTGCTAGAGTGGGCAGCCTTTGCCAGGGATTCAATTGGTTACAAATAGCAAAACGCTCGCATAACTTGGATTCCAGTTTTAGTGATTGGTGTATTCCAGAGGCAATGAAACCTGCAGTCGCAATAAACTTGGAACTCTTGCTTTTTATTGTAAACACTATTTTGTTACCTTAAAATATGCTTATATTATCTCAAAATATAAATTGAAAAATATAAATTTTATCACACTGAAGAAAGTATAACCTTTAAACTTATATAAATGATAATAAATAAGTGATAAACTCTAATAAATGGAAAAAATTTTTGGCTAATGCTATTGCTTTCATGTTCCATTCAAAATGATTAAAATTTGATTAAATATGCTGAAATTTTTGCAGACAATATGCTGCAATAATGGTAATAAAGGTTGAAATTCATGAGTGATAAAAAATGTGATAAAAAATAACCAATAATGAAGTTTATAGAATTATTTTATCAAATAATTTTCTTCATTTTCTCCTTGCTTTGCCTTTTATTTTTGATTTTTTCTCCATCTATTTAAAAAATTACGATATTATCACTGATAAGGCTTTAGGCTGTGTCGTCTTCTTGAACTTGATAAATTAGAATGCTTCATCATCTTCAAAAATTTGTAAATTTGTTTTTTCTATAAATTCAATTCGGGTTTATCCAGGGTACTCATCCAGTCATCATTTTTTCGCCAAGTTTGTATCTCAAATTGATCGGAAAAACACTGTCGGACTTAATTTAATTGATAAGATTGATTTGATAAATATTGAAATATTCATTTATGTTTTAGTCGCATGAAATTATTTAATATTTATATTTAAAAAATATTTAAGAATATTGAATGTTTAAGAAAATTTGATAAAATAGCTGATAAACAAATTGCACATTATTTCATTAAACATTATTTCAGTTTATTTAGGCTTGAAGAGCTCTTCTTCTTCTAATAGCTCTCACCATTAATGATTCTGCTGGCTACAAAGGTAAGACGTCTCCAAGCTGCTCGATTTGACGCCATCGCTAGTAGTAATAGAAACCATTCCTTATTCCATCGTCTAAATCATCCAAATGCCGCTGGATTTTCCTTATATGTTCATAATCTTTCCTGACTATATCAGTCCAGATCTTGATTGGCTCTCTTCGTTTTTGACGCCAATCATCATAGGGTTCGGCAATTAACGAAATTTGCGTCAACTCCTATGGTAGACCACGGAGAGTACTCTATAATGGCCATGGTAAAGCCTAAAAAAGCTGAATAAGCCATCATTTGAATCCATCGTTCAGTGGATTATTACTGTCAGTTTGAAGCGCTGGTATTGAAATTCTATTCTCAGTGGAAATAAGACCGGCCGATACTGGTGATTCATTGGTACTTCTTTCGCTAAATGATTTTTAACAGAATTATTTTGTTACAAGTGGAGAGAGTCTGAATAAAAACGGCTTTTGAAAAAAAAAAATTATTTGGTTCTGAAGCTTAAAAATTATTAAATTTTTTAAAATATTATATGAAAAAAAGACATTTGATCGTCAAAATCGTTTTGTTCTTGAAATTCGTTTTCATACGATATTACAAAAATTTGCATGAAATAACAAATATCCTAAAAGATTTCGATAGATCTGCGAAATATTTTAGTCGCCTCGGGGTGCATCATCAAAAAATTCGAGTGGTGCTGGCGCTCCGTCCACCTGCATTTCGATCCACTATATAGATTTTGATAGATTTTTTAAAAATTTTCGCACTATTTTTCATATTAATAAAATTGGATATTGAATTATTACAAATAATTGTATTCAATAATTCAATAAAAATATTTTATAAAAGTTATTGATGCGAAATTTTATGAAATAAATTTTATTCTTGCTAATTTAAAGTATTATATTTAGTAATGAATATTTCATATCATTGAAGAGTTTTCCTGGAATATTTTTCTGTGATAACTATTATGATAGCGCAAAGTTAATTGCAAAAATTAATTTACTACGAATAAAGTTAAAATAGAGTGGTCGAGTCGAATGGTTTCGATCCGTGGTGTGTACCATAGCTTCGACTTGATACTTCGGACGGCGTTCATTATCAACAAATTCGAGTGGTACTAACGTGGCCATCTGCTAAATATAAATAAATGTAAATTCATACAAACAGCCAATGGTCCTAACTTGGAGAAATGGACTTGATTTTACAAGCATACATTGAAATTAGCTTTAATTTTCAATTGTCAAAATCAATTTGAAAATATTTAATCAGTGTGTAATCATTCTATCGTTGGTAATTATCACTCAAAAATGTAGGCTAACCAGCTATATTATTCGCAAAAATCCTTTAAAATGGTTATTTTCGAAATGAAAAACGTAAGAAATAAAGCTATTATTATTATAAATTTACTAGTATCTATTTTCTTCTTTCTGGAAGTGCTCATTGCTTCTAATTAAACTTTCTGCTCGCTGGCCGAAACTGCCAGCCAAATTTTGCCATGGAATCACTTGACGGTAGAAGCATAGAAGTGAGTCGTCAGTGCCAGTCAACTTAAAAAAAAAAAATCATGAAATTTAATAAAAACGAATTGGAATAAAGAAAAATCTTAAAAGGTATATTAATTTTACGAAAATAATTCTTTTGTAAAATGTCAAATTTCTGTTGTAAAATATCTTAGATTTGCATGGAAAATATTATAAATATTTCAAATATTCAAGCAGCGAGACCAAATTAATTTAATTTGCATATAAATTATTTTAGAATGCAAAATGAATTAATTCGATTTGTGAAATTGCCTCTCAAAACATTGCCTTTTCGCCTGTTATTGGCAAATTTTTAATGAAATGCGTAAGTATGGAAGATAAATATATTTATATTATTATTCTAAAATATTTATATTATTCTGAAAACACTAATAAAATTATTTGCAAATAATAATTTATAATAATAATTTATGGAAATTATACGGAAATTATTAAAGGAAATTATTACGTTGCGTTGTATAAGAAAAATCCCCGTAAAATTCTTAGCTTTTACTTTCATTTAATAAATTAAATAAATTAATTAATATTAATTAATTAATATTTATTTATATTTTAAAAATGAAAAATCCATTATTACTTAAATAATAAAAATGAATATTTAAAATGAGAATTTATTTTAAAAAAATTTAAGAAAATTACCTCTCTATTAAATTTATTTATTTATTATCTTTTATTGAAGAATTTATTAAAATACTCCAAAAATAGAATAAATTTCTTAAATTTTTTGTGCAATTAACTAGCAATCAGTCCTTTATCAATTTAATCATTTTCTATATCATTCTTCAAAAATAAACCTTAATTAACCCGATAATATTCCACAAATAATTAATAAAAAATGTGCAGCCTCTCAGAGTATTCCCTTATTTCTAATTTATAAGGATATTATGAAGTCTGGCCTTAATCTGATTTTGATTAAGATTCGGAAATTGTCTCATATAATTCCCATTCATAAAAAAAGGAAGCCTCTTAAGAACAAAACTGAAGGTTTTCTTATAAAAATGTACAAAGCGTTCGTTCGGCCTCTTCTTGACTACAATACTAATCCTGTTAATCCCTGAGATATAGTAAATCAAGTAAAATAATTGAAGGACTCCGAAAATATTTTATATGATGCCTCTCTCCTAATAGCAATTTTATTTATAAAAGAAAAAAAACTTCTATGGATTAAAACTATTAAAACCTATGTCAAAACTAAATTGGGGACTCATGACTTCTTTATTCATGCTATTAATGATTGGAGTAAATTACATGGATATGGACATGGATATGGAACGATATAGCTTGTGTGTTATCCTTGGCTATCTTTAAAAAAAGATTAGATAATATCATTAATATTTAATCATATCATATCTTACCATATATATTTTATCACATATCTTATATATATCTTATCATATATATCTAATCATATATATTTTATCTCATCATGATATTATTTAAAAAGTTCGCATCATGCAGGAAGTGTGAAATCTCGATTTTTACCCTCCGATTATATTAAATACAGTTACTTCGAATTGTACTATTATTTTCTATACTATTTATAATTGTTATATTATTTTATTATATTATTACTGTATTGTTATATTACTTTGTAATTTCCTGTTTATTCCCTCTTTAAATTGTTAATTTTTGTCTTATTTCCTTTCTCGTTTTTTTAATCATCATTTATTATTTATTTTAATTGTTGTTATTAATATAAGCACACATGGTGTTTGTCGCCACGCTTGGCTGGTTTTCAATAAATGAATCCAATTCGCGATCGAAAATCTTAATTTCGGTAGATATTTACATTACAATAGTGGGAGCTAAAAAAATTTCCCAAGAGATTTTCTTTTCTCGAATTTCCCTTCACTTCATTTTCCGAAAATATTGATAATAAACTTATCAACAACTTATCAACTTTAAGAACCAAAAAACATAGGTCATTGCCTTAACGATGATTACTATCTGAATAAATAAATTTAAAAAACCGCTTTTATCATTTCGAGAAACTTAATCATTAATCATTAAAAATTATTTTAGCTGATAAATTTGTAATTTATAGAAAAATAAATTTGCAAATACAAAAATGATAAAAATAAAAATATTTATTCTCATTTATTTGATTTGAAAAAAATCGCGACGTATTTCTTAGAAGAAAAAAATAAAATTGCAAAAAAAACGATTCGTAAATTTTTTTTCCCGCAATAATTTCAAAAATAATTTTAAAAAATCGCATCCCTTATTAATAATTTGTTGTAATTTGTTTTATTTATGAGATTTTTAATAAATCTAATTTGTACAAAAAAAAAAAAAATTCGAATATTTTTAAAAATGATTTTTCCCTATTCAATAGAAGCAAAATACATATTTATAAAATTTATTAATAATTAAATTCATATACGAAACGATGCAAATTTTTTTGTATTAAAACAAAGAAATCCCGTTGCTTTCAATCATTTCAATGATTAATCGAAACAGAACGGTGCATAGCCTTATGAAATACTAAATAAAAATATTAAATATTAAAAATATGCAATATTAAATATTCAAATATTAAACTTGATAATAAAAAATATACAACAGAAATTACATCTTTGAGAGGCATATATTGATTTCACAGAAAGCAAGCAGCATGTATTCGCCTTAATAGAAGTAAATCTATAATTAAAAATAAAATCCAGGTGACAATGGGAATAATTCACCAGTACCTCTAGCCCCCAGTTGATTCTTTGGTAAAAAGAATCTCACTGTAGCAGTTAATGAGGCCAACCAAACCAGAAATGATGCGTACTAATAATATATATCCTTGAGAAATCTTAAATTTACAACAGAAGTGATGAAAAAATAAACGAAATATTCTCCAAAATAAATTAATCACAATCAAATAAATAAAAATATTTCGCAAGAGGACAACAAATTTTTTTATTCAAAATTTAAGCATTAAAATTATTTTTGTGCAAAATTTTAAATAATTAGTGCCTGTAAAAATTCTATGAATAGACAAATTATTGTCCAAAATATCCATGAAAATAATTTGAAACGATCGAAATTTTAGCTGGGTAAATAATTCATATTCACATTATAAACAAAATTATAGGAAGTTTTGAAAAAAAAAAGAAAACTTGAGGTCGATTTGAAAAAGCCAAAATCATTAGAACAATTGAAAAAATACAAAATCGATAGATCAATGAAAAAAAGAAACTGAAACGATTTACCAAGATTTGAATCGAGATTTAAAACGCATTGATCTTTTTAGTCCATTGAACTAATTTACAAATTAATTGTAACTGTAAAATTAATTGTAAAAATATTTCAGAAAAAATATGATAGGAACAATTAAAAATAAAAGCCAAGGTATTTTTAATAATTACCAAAAAATAAATTTGAAAGGAAGCAGGAAAAAAGCGTCAATCAAAACCATAAAACCATTGACTTTAGATAAGTGACGCTGGAAATGCTTCAAAATAATTTTGATAACAAATAAAATAATATTAGCGACAAATTGCACTGAAATGTTCGTGAAAAACACAAGAGCAAACAGATCTAAAATACCACAATAAATTAAATTCCATTGAATCGAACCCTTTTTTTCTCGATTCCATTTGCAGCTGTATCCCATCCATTGCTCGACCTATCAAAATCAGATGAACGGAAACTGCTAACCAAAAATGGTTTTTGTATGGAGCCACTTGAGATTAGTGGTTCAATACAGCTATCATGAGGAAGTGAAGATGAGGAGCCACCATCCGGTATTAGCCGTAAGCGATCTGATGATAATGTTTTGGAAAGTTTGAACTTCCATTCTGGAAAAATGTAAAGATAAGCCAAAATTAGGAAAAAAAAAGCCAATAAACATTAGATAAATTCCTTTAGATCGTACGGCATATCATTAAAGTAGTACCACAATGGTTTTAAGTTTATTGCAAACAATGAATTCAATAAAATTCGAGATATTATATGTGAAGCACCTGAGCACATAAGAGCAATGACTGCAAGCATACAGAGAGAAGCAGCTGCAAGGATGCTAGCTATAACAGTTATCCAAATACTATGTTCGCTTTCTTCGTTAATTCGATCCAAACAAATCTTCGTTTCAATGCAACCCATACTGCCATCGGTTATGACTTTGTCACCAAATGGTATTAAAAAGTCATTTATCCATTCCTCACCACAAATACACTGCCAAGGATTTCCTATAAAAAAGCAGTTAATAAAAATATAATGTGGTGATATAATAACGAAAATGAGAATGCGATATTGATTAACCGAAAAAAATTCCCATTACATTGTATAATAATAAAATAATCAAAGCATAAAAAATGATGCTTTGTTCTAAGTGTGAGGTATATTTGGTATATATTTTAATGGCAATCCACTAAATTGTTATCCTTATCTTAATACAGCGGATATCCACAAATAAAAAAATTATTAACACAACCCATTATATTTCGTTAACCGTGAATGGCACGAAAATACATATATTTAGATTGACTTCCGGCAATTTCTTTTTTTTTTATAAACCTTAATTTGCTAAACTGTTCTACAGAACAAAAAAAATATTAAAAAATTTCTCAGTAGGAAAATTATATTACTTATTTGAGCAATGCAAATGGGGTGGAAATGGAAAGAATCCCACTGAAATCTAATCGACTAGAAAATCTTTTTCTTTTCTTATCAATTTGATACAATGGAGAACTTTCGACAATTTATATTACTCATTTCCATCATCAATATCGTCTGCTAATACCATTTTTAATTCTACTGGCTCCACTGATAGTTATGATAGTTATGAATAAAGGCTTAGAGAATTAGATAAGTCAATACTCAATTTCACTGATTATTTGATAAAGTAAAACAGAAAGAATAACCTGATATATCAATAACATCAAGATCAGAAGGAAGCATTTCAAGTACTCCTTTATCAATAAATTGAAGGCGATTATGATTGAGGTACAAACGATTTAAAGGCAATTCAACAAATGCACGAACATCAATCTAAAATAAATCTATAATTATATTTATATAGCTTGCAATAACAATAAAATAACAATAAAGATGAAAAATTTAAACGACTAAAAAATTAAAATACAATACAACTGATTCTTTTATGGTGAGATATATTCTTACAAACTATCACAAAAGCAATTGAATATATATATATATATATATATATATAAAGATGTATAACAAACTTTTTCAATCTCGTTGTGATCGACAGCGAGGATTTTTAGTGAATGAAGAGAACTAAGATCTGCATCACTGATTCGTGACAAACGATTATTTGATAAAAATAAATCGGTCACTTTTTTCAAAGGATGCAAGAATGATATTTTCGCTAAAATACATTTCATTTCATAACATAAAGTTAAGTGAAAATTTTATAGTAGAAAATTTGCTAAATTTTGAATAATTTATTAGATTTTTTTGGTTGCTATTTTTTTAAATAATAAAAATTTATTGAAACGCTTACTGCATATCATTAAAAAAATTTTCCAAAAATAAAACCAAATAATTGAATAATATTAACAAATAAATATTACTTTTACTTCGTGTGATAACGATATTTATAGATACAAAAAATTTATGAATATCAGTATTTCATACCCTCTCCTTCATTTGTTGTTAATATCGAAATTTGGTTATCCTGAAGTGATAATTTGGTTAAACGATGAACTGGTTTAAAAGCTCTAGCTTCAATATTTTTTATTTGATTAGCTGCCATTGAAAGCGATTGTAATCTGCAATATTTTATATATTTAAATTTTGCTAATATGGAAAACATAGTTGATAATAAATTTTGCTAAAATCAAAATGCTCAACTAAAAAAATTAAAGAAGAATGACTAATTATGAGAAATAAAATCATTGTTATGCATTATATACCAAAAAATACCTGACACTCTCTCCTAAAGAATGTAAATCTCCGTCAAAGATCTGAGTAATAGCATTTCTGTCCAAATTTAGGACGCTCAAATTGGGTAAAGTGCGTAGACTCACATTCTTCAATGATTGAATGCTATTGTTGTTCAAAAATAATTTTTCTAAACTCTTCAAACCACGAATGTCCACTTTGCTTATATGATTATTACCTAAAACAGTGGATTTTTATTGACCATCACAACAGTCCTTCAATGAATCCAATTAGTTCGATTTCTAGATAAATGTGGTCATTAATAATTGCGATGATTAACCTAAATTAAGAGTTTTAAGATTTCTCATATGAGTAAATGCATTCCAATCAAGATCCATAATATTGTTGTTCTGAAGATTTAAATGTTCGAGACTGATAAGATTTGCAAATGTATCCCTGAATAAATTTATAAGTTAGCAAAAATTTATAAAGGAAAAATGAAAAATTTAAAATTCGATAATTCATAAATAAGTAATAAAAATAATTCAATTTGAGAGAATTTAATTTAAAAAAAAAAAAAATGAATAGAATAAAATTCTAACCTTGTAATATTTGTTAGTTTGTTATTTGCTAAGTTTAACATTTTTAAATTGTTAAGAGCACTGAATGTGCCATTTTCGATATAAGACAATTGATTATCGCTAATAATTAAAGTCTCCAAATCTTTTAATGAACTTAACTGATCTGAAAAAAAAATGAAAAATTTAAAAAAAACAAGGTAAAAAAATAAAAGTGATATAATAAATAAAAAAGATTTAGCAAAGGAGAATTACATCGATAAAATTTTTTCTAAGAATTAAAAACTTTAAATTAAAATAAAACCACCAAATAATTTTACCTTTAGTAATTAAGGAGAGTTTATTACCACTAAGATCGAGAATTTTTAGCCGATCAAGATCCTTAAACATAGCCGCGTCAATTTTTTTTAAAATGTTATTCTTTAACTGAAGTACTCGCAATCTTCGACCAATGTTAGCAAAAGCTCCAATGCGGAAAACGCTCAATCCAGAACGTTCGATTGACAAAATTCTTGGACGAACCTTAATTAATTATATCACTTTAACAGGCCAAATTTAAAAAACAAAGAATATTAGGTGAAAAATTTCATTGGACTTTATATATTATCTAAAAATTGCCTACAGAAAATAATTCTTTAAATGAACAAATTTTGAAAATCAATAGAATTTAAAAAATCTTAAAAATTATTATTTCAGATTATTTCTTCTTCTTCACATATCATTTCAGGGAAAAAAAAACAGAAAAAAAAACAAACCTGCGCGAACATATCAGTTGGAATAATATTTATTAGGGAATCCCAAATCCATAGCTTCGAAATCAATGTCTCATTAAGCGCATTTAGTGCGCTAAACACCTGAGGCATTTTTTGCCTCGAACATCCAAGCCATATACGATCAGAGAAATCCAACGAACCACCACCACTATTAATAGATGTCGATGGTGTTTCCAAATAACATTGACATGCCGCCTTAAAATACAATAGAAAAAATGATTTAAAAAATTCATTCTTTGTAATTTTTAAAAAAAAAAAAAAAATAAAACCATTAAGATACAACAAAATAAATTTGTTATATACGAGAAAAATTTTTTCAAAAATCCTTGAATTTTAAATTACTATAAGTAAACTCAAAAATTTTCATAATGCAATGAAGCATAAATAATGATCATTTTGAGCCCATAATTTCCGTTTTAAAAAACTTATTCAACAATTTAACAAATTAACAAGTGAATAAGCAATTATTCATTGAAAAATCAATAGAATTTGAAAATTTAAAAAATTATTATTTCAGATTTCTTCTTCATATATTCATATATTTTTTGCTTATCAGTAAATTATCACTAAATAAATTTTTTGATTGGAAAATAGAGAAAAAAAAACTAACCAATTCACCGTTATCAGTGATTTGCTTAAAAGCATTATCAATTGGCACGCATGGAGAAACAGTAGTGATTGTTTCACAAAAATTTTCATTAAAATTAACAATAACAACAATTATAATAAAGATATGCCGATGAAAAATAGATCTCTTCATTGTATAATAATGTAATGCCAGCCAAAGTGGCAAAAATTTTTGAAATGAAATTTTCTTTAGAAAATACCAATTGAAATTTATCGATATTCTTTTCCTGAAAATTCCATTTAGACATTAAATTTAAAGACGAATAATAACAATAATAATAATAATAATAATAAACGAAACGAAAACCATTTAAGACCCACGAGCAATTTTCCGAATGAAAAACCCATTCGCAAAACCCATCTTTGTGATTCTCGCATTCAAAGCAACTTGCTCCAGCAGGTAAGTTAGCATGATTTTTCATTATTTCGCGCAAAGGCAAAATAGTATGAATTGCATGCGACGAATTGTCATCCTAGTAATCAATGGACTTAGGCAGAAATCAAAAAAATCACTATCTTTCATTTCTTCGTCTAATAGCTAGCAATAATACCGATTTAGCCACATTAATTGTTAAAGTAAAACATACATCCATACATATCCGAAGCGACTGCCTAAAATCAACTCATATCACTCCTTTTTCCATTGTCTTAACTTACAAAAAGAGGCCGCCTATGCATTTAAAATAATAATATATACTATATGATAAGATAAAGAGATGTCGCTGATATCAGTGATATCTCCTTAATCAATGATAAACGACATTGTTTCGAACCAATGAATTACGAATGGACATTGGAAATAATAGATGCAAAAAATCAACGTTAAATTTAGTAGTTTATCAAATTACTTTCTAGTATTATGGATTTGGTGAGAAAATCATATTTACGTGAAAATTCGATATTTTACAGAGGGAATTTACGTGAATCACAAGGATTCACGTGAAACTTACGATAATATTTACGTTGGAATTACGCGAAAAAAACATATTGGTATACGTGCAAAAGAGATTACAATGGTTATGCAAAATAGAAAAAAAATTTTTTACAAAGGATTAATGTGTGATAATCAACAGCGAAAGAAAAAGAAACGCGGCAAACGTAACTAATGATAATTTATAGTTTTAAAATCTAGCAACACGCCTTAAAATAAATCTTCATTCCATATATTTGTTTAGCTTCACTGATAAAAGATTAATAATTTTTGATAACTTTTTGTTGACCACTGATAACTAATTGTTAACTATTGATCACTGACCACTAATGATTCATTGTCATAACTGATAATTTGCTGATAATTCACTGATTGTTGACCACTGATAATTCACTACTCGTCTACTGATAAACTGATTTCTGACCACTGATAATTATTTATTCATCCATGCTTAAGATTCTAAATTGATTTTTTAAAGTAATAATGAGAAAAAAAAAATGAAAACTACAGACGGCAAACATCAAAAAATTAAAAGGGGTCAAAGGGCATAGGAAATTGATAAATTTGTACAAATCACCTTACTGAAAACAATGAAAACATATGCGTGGCGGGCCATCCAAGCAATGCACGCGCATCGCTAAATCATTGTACCATTTCGTGCCTGCCGTCTTTTTTTCTCTAAACTCTCCCCACTAAATACAATTAAGCACATCGCATCCTCTTATTTATTCTCGCGTCTGCTGATCGCTCATTCTGTTATATTTCTTCTTTTATATTTTTCTCTACATCACCTATTGTTTCATACTATTCCTTTTCCACTTTTTCTTTTTCATTTTGCCAGATGTTTTTTTGCAGACGAAAAAAATAAAAAAATTCATCAAATTTATATCAAAAAGGCTTCGAAATAAAGGACGATTTACGTCAAAAAGAATAAATATTGACAAATTATGAGAAAAGTGACAAATTGACGTCGAACAAACAAACTGCAATTGCACGTTTTGCACGATTGAATAATTTCACAAAAGTGCATTCGAATACAATGCACATAAATGTGCCAAATTTGTTCGCTAAAACCACATTTTTCATCGCTTATCGATCTAGCAAAGATTTGTTGCACAGCCATAACGATTAGGCTCAAGTTGGCTGGCCAGACAAGTTCTACCATGAAGTCACTTGATGATAGAAGTACAGCCATAACGATTAGGCTCAAGTTGGCTGGCCAGACAAGCTCAGTGACAGTGCCAAATGCCAAAAAAATAAAGAAAATTGCCGAAAATATAAAAATACGAAGTTGCAGAAGAGATAATTTCAGCAATTTCAACCGTTAGATTTAATTTTTCCATGCTTCGATGGTTCAGCGGCTACCGAATTACCGCCGAGATTCGAGAATTGCGCTCGAATTCGGCGACACGCCATTCTTCGTTTGGCGACAGTATCGCCTAAAAAAACAAATAAGATTAGAATGGCTGAAAGGATTATCACTCAATGCAGAGCGCCGATGGTGAACTTCTATTCTCCGCATGAGTAAACCTGTCCAAAAATCTTGGTGATGCTAGCGACTCTTCACCTTCACTACTATCACCAAGAGGCTCCCTCGTACAATTGCCTGCCAGCGAAGAGCCAGCCAGCGGAGCGAGTAATGCCGAGGGCTCTTAAAAAGAACGAAAAAGAAAATATGCATATTTCCAAATAAACCGATCGTTGATGAGCGTTTCCTCAATTTCTTAAATAAAAATAATCTATAATAAAAAATAATTAAATAAATTAAATAAGAAAAATAATAAAAATAAGAAAAATAAAAAACTAAATTATTCAAAAAAAGGAAAAAATAATAAATTAATAATTAATTAATAAATTAATAATAAATTAACTGTACAATATTTAAAAAATCAAAATAAATGCGAATTTTTAAATATTCAAAAATTTTTTAATTATTAAAATGGTCAACGAATCAAAATTCAATTACAAAAGAAATTTTTTTTTTTTTAAGAGTCCTCACAATTACTGATTAAACTCGCTCCACTGGCTTGTCACATTGAACAATATGCCAGGTAGTCCTTTGGCGATAGAAATACAGGTGAGTCGCCAACATCACCCGGATTTTTGTATAGGTTTACTCCTGCAAGGAATCGAACCTCAGCACCTGCGCTCCCAATTAAGCAACAAACCACTGAGCAATTCTATCATAAAAGAAAATTAAATATTTAAAATATTTAAAATATAAAAAATTAAATATAAAATATATAAATATATTTTTTATATTTACAATATAAAAAATTTGAAAATTGAAAAAATTAAAAAAAAATGAAATATAAGGTTGAAAATTAATAAAAAAATAGTAAAAAAAATTAAATATTAAATTAAATATTAAATGTAAAATTAAATATAAAAATTAGTAAAAAATTTAAAAAAAGGTAAAATTTCTTTTTTCTCTAATAGTTTTTGGTATATAAAACATTTGCACTTTATAAAAATTTATTTTTTAGTCATTTTTTATAATTGTGAAAATATTCAAAGAATATTAGTGGAAATTCATAATTTATAGTTTGAGGAAACGGAAGATAACGTAAAAAAGAAGGAAATTAGGGAGAGGAAAAGAAAAAATTTATAAATGTGTTGAAGGAAGGAGGAAGGAAGAAGGAGGGTGTTTAGGTTAAAGGAAACAGAAAGTTAAGGGAGTTTTTAGAATTTTTTTATCTTTTTAATTTTTTGATAATTTTTAAATTTTTTTGATAATTTTTAATATATTTAATATATAATTTTAAATAACGAGGTTTAACGATTCGTCTTTGATAATTTTATCAATAAAAGCAAAATTAACGATTTGAATTTTTTCTCCAAAAATTTTTTCGAAAAAATTTCCACTTTACTTTTTCAGTAAATTCTTAATGAATGGAATCAATTGGAAAAATTAAGAAAAATGAGATTTTTTGAAATTAAAAGAAAAAAATCAAACATTACCGATTTTTTATTAAAAAAAGAAAAACATTAAAATATTCATTAAAATTTCATTTGAAAATTTGATAAATGAATTAAATTGACATTTTTTTAATGAATTTTTTTAAAAAAATTATCTAATTTTGAATGTTAAAAAAATTTCAACTTAAAATTTTTCATAAAAATGATAATCGCCTTTCGTTGTTTTATTAATCAAATAAATATACAATGAACGTTTTTTTTTAAACAGCTCGTAAAATTTATTTATTTAATAATTTTACAAAATTTATTTTATCATTAACTTCTATAATTTTATATTTATATTTTATATAATTTTACTTTTATATTTTTTAATAATTTATATTTTTTACATTTATAATTTTTATAAAAATTATATTATAATGAGATTAATTATAAAGAAATAGATTTTGTAAAAAAAAAATTTTTTTAAAAATATGATAAAAAATTGAAAATCAAAACGGAAAATTTTGTTGCCCCCATTTTATTTGATATCTTTATTTAATATTATTGTCATTAATATAAATATTAATATTATAATTAGTATAAACATTAATAAGTAATACAGCAATAAAAATAATTAAAATTGACGACAGCGATGATAAGAATAAGTAATTAAAAAAATATTATTGAAAGTAACGATTCCAATTAATCAACCATATTCGTATTGTTAATAAAGTTAATTATAACTATTAAATTATAGATAAGAATGATATTAGAAATATAATCATATTGCTAGGACAAAAAGGATAATTGCAATGACAATTGTTAATATCATTATAATAATAATAATGAAATAAATATCATCCAAATCACCAAAATATCATAATTATCATATATTGGCAAAATGATTGCTATGATAATAATAATTGATAATAATAACAATAATATCAATAATAATAATGTCAATAATAATTAATAATAATAAGTGATAATGATAACAATAATAATAATAATTAATAAGGGTAAGGAAAAAAAATTCGGAATATGCGATTGCAGTGATTACATAGTCATGAAATAAAACGAATTATTGATAAAAATGACCTTGAATCGCGTTATTCATCAACTATTGTCCTCATTTCTTTTCCTAGAATTTCCTCTTTTTTTTTCTGAAAACTGAAAAAAAGGAACTAAATTTGATATTTTTTCAAAAAAATAAAAAAATATAATTTTCCGAGAAAAACGAAGCAATTAGCGATCATAAATTTATAGAATGGTTTAGTGATTATTTTCATTTCGAAGTTTCCAATATGTTGAAGAAAAATTGCAAGTTCCAAGCAGAATTAAGCCTTTTACAATACTTCGTCTTATTCTTCTTTGCCAATTTGAATAGTAGCAAAATATAAGAAAGACAATGGACCAAGCGAGACCATATAAGAGAATCATTAACATCACTATTGTTGTTTTCCATGTTTTCCATGAGGCAACTGCCCAATGCACCAATGAAACTTCATTATTCCAGAATTATTAAAATGAATTGCAATCTGCATTAAATCTCTCCTCTCTTAAATTACCGAATAATACCGAATATATTTATGGTTAATCCATTTAATAAGGAGAGACCTATTATTTATGAAAATCGCTTCAATATAATAATCAACATAATTTTAATTATCACCAATAGGTACCCAATATTGCATTTATATGTTAATGTCCTTGACACCACTTCGTACCACTTTTTTTTCTTTTTTTTAGAAAATTTCCAATCAAATTCTTTGGATGCATAAGAAATATTAAATATTTTAATAATAACGATTTGAAAATTTTTTTTTCAGGATTAAAATAAAAAAACAAGTAAAAGCGAATTTTTCGAAAATATATATTTTTGAATGGTTTAATATTTATATTTTATACAATTTAATAAATTAAAAAAAAGGCATCTAAAATATTTTATGAAACAATTATTAAATATAATAAATGAAATTTGAAGAATGAAATTTCTAGCAATTTAAAATCTTGCAAATTTAAAATTTTTACTGACATTACTCGCATATAATCTGGCAAATTATAATAAGGCAAATAAGCAATTTTTTTTTACAATTTTTTTAACCAAATTTTTAGATAAAACAATGATTAACTAACTTTTAATATTCAATATACAAATAATAAAAGCATATCTTTAAGACGATAAATCACAAACAAAATAACTTTTTGTATTTTGTATATTTTCTGCTGAAATGCATCAAAAAAGACTGAAAATCAATTCTAAAAATATTTTAATGAAATAATTATCCGCTCAATAACGAACAACGACAAAACAATATTCAATTTACCATTGAATATTTATTTGCTATTTAAAATGGGATTTAAATGAACAAAATAAATTAACAAGATGAACGTTAAAAGAACGAAAGAACAAATAATTTTTATTTTTTTTATCAAAAATAAAAAATGATCGAAATAAATCAAAAAATCTACTTATAAGCGAAATGATCGAAAATTTCTTTTAAAATAATAAAAAATTTAAGAAATTCGAATCAGAATTTGATTTCTATTTTACTTATCTATTAATATTGTCTTTAATATATTTTTCTAAATATTCTTTGGTAACCTCCGGCAAAATTGAGAAAATTGTTTTCTTTATAATAAAAAGGATATTTGCTGCAAATAATTTTTACCACTATTTTTATTCTTTTTTTTTTGAATTTCAAAGCTATTACCATATCTTCTGGCAAAGAATTCATTTCATAAACTTTCCATTAAAACTGCAAAAATATGTATTAAAAAATCATAATAAACTATTCATAAAACAATAATGTAAAAAAGTACTAACCAAAATCTATTTTCAATCAATTTCTCCAAACGAAAATTTATCCACAATTATTTACATCAATATATGATACATTTGTAAAAGAATTATTACCATTTTTATAGTTGTAAAATTCTGAAATTTTCGAAAATTGTAGTAAAAAAACCAGGTGAAGAAGGAGAATTAATAAAATTAATAAAAAAAATTACATATATTGTTAAAAGACTCAGTTAAATGACTAAATGATGGAAGACTATGACCTAGTTTGATAGATTCTCTTCATAACCATTAAGTAAAGGCGAATAGCCATTATCTGCTGTGGGAAACAGATATGAAAAAAAACCAGTCATCATTAAGCGAAAGTATAAGCGAATGTATCTTATCCAAAAAAAAACTATGACCTAGTTTGATAGATTCTCTTCATAGCCATCAAGTAAAGGTGATTCGTCAGTTTCTGTTGTGGGAAACAAATCTAAAAAAAAATCCAGTCATCTTTAAGCGAAAGACGTATATTACCCAAGAAATATATCTTACTCAAAAATGTCCAAAGGAAAAACTAAAAAAATCAACAATGTAGAAATTATCAAATATTTCTTCCATTTTCTTATTCAGAATTTACTGAAAAAATTTACAACAGCTCCATTAAATATTAATTTCTACGAATTTTTTCAAATGTGAAAGAAAAATGAAAAATATTTGGCTAATAATTTAAAAAAAACTGGATAAAATATTCCACATTTTCATTAAACGAAACTATTTAAAAAGTTCAAACTAAGTACTCTGCACTGATTCCATTGCTTTCTCTTTATCACGAAGTAAATACAATGAGCAAATTAAATACATGGCTCCACCACCAACCAATATAAAATTGGGGATGTATAACGCTCTTTGTAATGCATAAAAATGTGCAGCAATCGAAGAATCATCCCCTAAAATTTACCTTAAAATGAAATTTAAATAAGATTGAACATCGAAATACATGGAGAAAAAAATTTATACTGATTTTCTAGGCTTTACTTTAATAAGAAGAAAAAAATTTACCTCTAAGAGTATCAGAAACAAGACCAACGATGTAAGGTGTAGAAGCGTCACCAAACAAATGACATATTAAAGTTTGCATTGCAGTTGCAACAGCCCGACGATGAGCGACAGTTATATACTAAATGATAACTAAATATACTATATAAATATACTATAAATATAATATATAATATAAACTAATAAAACTAATGAATATTAGGAAAAATTTAAACAAGAAATAATAGAGTAGAATAATAAAAAAGAATAATTTGCAAAGATTTAAAGAAAATAAAATAAACCATCAGAATATCCATGTTAACGGCCCAGTTAAAACTGCAGCACATCACACCACAAAAAATGAAAACCTGAAAAATAAAATTATTTGGTACAATTGGTAATTAGTTAATCTTTCCAATTCTAAAATATGGTGGCAAAAAAATTTGAAACAAAACGAATAACGAACCCAACAAAAGAAAATATGATGTGCAGCAAATGTTAGAGCAAAAAAAAGTAGCGGTACTCCCATAAATGCTCCAATTGCGCAGACATGTGGATCAGCGAGTTTATTTGGTTTCAAACAACTTATTCCTTCTTGCCAGACCTGTAAGAAGAAATAGGCTTTAACAGCAACTGCGATAAAGTTTGAATTAGAAAAAATTTTAATTAAAAGAAAATTCAATTTTCTTAAAATTGACTTAAGTATAAATGAAACTGATCAATATAATACAGACCTGCGATAGTGCTGACCCTACAATAACACCGATTATTCCAGCAACGCACGTGATGAATCCAAATGTCAATGATATGCTTAAAATTTGGAAATTTACAGAGCAATAATTGCAGCCATCCTTATATAAAATTATTGAAGTTATTTCTAAGTAAAAATCATTTAAATATAACTCTGTTTCCGCGTTAAAAATTTTGCAGCATATAATTTCTGAATGCTTTTTCACATGGATTCTAAAATAATAAAAAATCTTTCAACAAACTTCGCTTTAATATCACTGGAAATTTCGCTGGTTCCATGTTCCATTGACCAAGCATGTTGAATCAACGTAGGTGTCCACCACGCTAAACAACCCGCTACAGAAACTACACAGGTCGAACCAATTGTAGAAAATATGTATGTTCGACTAAATGAATTTTTTAAAATCATTGATATAAGAAAACTATAAAAAAACTAAACAATAAGAATTATTTTTATAAAAAGATAAAACCTTTTTTAAAAAATAAAATTTCTTTACATAGTCAAAAGATATTTTATATCATCGCATAATGTAGTCGCCTCTAGGTTTGCATTTTCAGCTGCGCCACGTATAGGCTCGTTCAAAATGATTATTAGAAGCAATAAGCAAATAATTCCAATAATAGGAGTCAACCGAATACCCCACTGCCATGATCCAGTCCATAAAGATATATTTGAACCCATTATGAAACCAAGCCCACTAAAACAAAAAATAACACTTTCGAAAAAATATCGAATGCTACCTTAATCGCTAGCATACAAAAAATCTATCGTAAACAAAAAAAAGGTTAAAAATATATTATAACCTTCCCACGGGTATAGCAAAATAAAACACCATAAGAGCGGTACTTCGTCGATGGCCAATAAATAAATCAGCAATAATAGTTGGAGCTATGGTGGAATAAGAAGCTTCACCGATGCCAACTATTCCTCGACAAAGCACAAAAAGCCAGAACTGCTAAAAAAAATAAATTGAATTGAAAAAAAATTGAATTATGAAATATAAAATTTAAAATTCATTAAAAATTCATTAAAAACTAAATCTAAGAAAACTTGGATTTGATACATCAATAAAACGACTGAAGATTCAAAGATGAAAAAAAATTGGTAATAAAACTTTGACAAAAAATTTCATCAATTTATTGTTTCTGTTCTGTTTCTGTTTTAACCTCAAGATGGCAGTAAAAACCATTTTATAATACTATTATTTATATAAATTTCAAATTTAAATTTTTAAATAAATTTATTGAAGTGATTTGTTAAAACTCGATAAAACAAATAAACAATTACTTTTTGATGAATTAATGATGAGGTAAATACAGCTGTAGTCCATATCGTCAAACCAATAATCATAAGCATTTTCCTGTTATAACGATCACCAAAGTAACCGAATAACGGTGCAAAAATCATATAAAAAACAATGAAGATTGTCTGAAAAAAAATTTCATATATTAAAGCGAAAATTTTGATTAAAAAATTCAGATTTAATTTAATTTAATTACTTTAATTATAAAAATCGTTACAATTCCTAAAATTCATTTTAATTTAAATATTTTCGGTGACCTAATATTCAGTACTTCCAACATGATTTAATTAAAGAACATATTTTTAAGAGTTAAAAAAATTATTAAATTTCATTGAAAATGGTATTGGTCGCTAAATCTTTTTAAAATTCCCTTAGAATTTAAGCACAATATGATTTACCATTAAAATTACAAATGAATAACCTGTAATAAACCCGCGTTCGAATCGCCAATTTGAAAATAATCTTGAATTTGAGTAAGAACAGCAGCAACGGTAAATCTAAAATTTTTCGTGAATAAATAAAATAAAGCTGAACTGAAAAATATTTCTTTAAATAAATATTAAATAATAATATTAAATATTAAATTATATAATAAATAAATAATTAAATAATATATTTAAGGGGAAAATTGGCCATGTTTCACAGTCATATAGCAAGATCGAACGAATCACTATAAAGATGCGGACTTTTTATGGTGATTTCGTGGCGGCTCCATAACCTGGCATAAGAACGCATTTCCAGCTGCCGCGATCCGGGTTATAATATCGTCTTTTGCCAAGCCATTTGCTAGTAGAGTGAAGGTATTTAAAATCACGCGCTTCCTCAATCAGCAAAGAATTTACAAAAAGAAATATTTTATTAGCTTCTTGCACATAAGATGAAAAGACTTTCATTTTATTTACCCTTTTTTTTTGACCCTGAGTTATCTGATTCTGATTAAGGCGCACTCTTCGTCGTCACGCGAGTTGATACATATTTCGCTTTTTGCTGAATTCTGCTAAACCCTATGATCGATGATGATGATATCAAATCGAGGAGGGCGAGACCTGGACTGATACAGTTAGGAAAAATTTTAAACGTATAGGTGAGCCAGCGATATATGGACTTAGATGATGGAAAAAGGAATGGCTTCTATTACTGTCAGCGATGGCGACCGAATAGCTTGAAGACGACTTATTTTTGTAGCCAGTGCAATCAACCTAATCAATAATGGTGACATATATTAGAAAAAAAAAATTATTTCGTTTTCCTTATCTGCGCATTTTGTAGTGTCAAAATAATTGATTCTGATGCTTCAACTGACATTAATCTACAATAACTATAGAGGAATTAGCCTATTAGATATCTCTGGAAAAATTTTCACGCTTCTTTTATTTAATAAATTAATAACAGTGCAAGACTGCAAGATGCGGGAATCAAACCGAGTCACGGGTATGCAACTCACCTATCGCCAAGAGACTTCCTGGCATATTGCACAATGCGACAAGCAAGCTTTTCTTTTTTCGCCGTTCAACCGCCGCCTTCGTAAAGTTTCACGATAAAATTTTAAGATATTTAAGAAATTTTAAATTTTAAATTTTAAGAAATTTTTAATTTGAAAGAAAACAACGGCAAAAATTCAAAAAAAACTTGCCTATCCATATAATTAAGTAAATTAATTGCCAATAAAAGTGCCATTGTCGCAATATTTCGTTTTGACATCGAAAATATTGCACACGAATTTAGATTAAGTTCTTCGGCCATTTTATCTGAAAAAAAGCGATAAAAACTAAAAAAAACAACATAAATAAACAAAAAATGAAAATGATAAAATAATAATAAAATAAATGATGAAATTGAAATGATAAATGATAAAGTTGACAATTACTAAAAAAATAAAAAAATAAAAAAATAATAAAAAAAGAAATAAAAAATCAAATCATAATTTTTTTTTTTTTTTGCAAAAAATTTGATTCGCTTTTGCATTTGTCTATTTTTAGAAAATTCAAAAATCGGTTGCTCTCAGACGATTGTTTTCATAGCATCGAATTCTCGCGATTTCTACATGAATCCGACAAAAGTGAATAATTCACTTTCGAAAAAATATCCACAATTTCGGCGTAATTTATACTACTATTTCGTATCAACTTGTACCAATCTCTATTCGCCATGTGACTTTTTAAGCAAAAATTTCGTCGTTTATTGCGATTAGCTAATGCAGTAAAATTAGTCAGAAATAATTAAAGCTCTTGAAAAAAAAAAAAAAATTTCAAATATTTGGCATTAAATGAGATAGTTTAATGAATTATGAAAAATGCAATTTCTAAAAAGATGAAAAATAATAATAAATACCGAAAAAAACAACAATTTTTCACGGTCCTTTTGAACCCTTTACACCCCTTCCAACCTTCCAACATTAAAAGTACCATCAAAACGAAAAAAATCAATGAAAATAAGATATAACGATATTTAATAAAATCGAATCCAAAAGGAAATGAAATAAAGCCGAAGCTGACGATTACTTTATAGGCTGATGAATAGTAAAACGTGCAACATAGGAATTAGAATTAGAACTTGCATGATGTATGATTTAGGGTTTATTAAAAATTAGCGTTGGGTAAGGCCTGGTTAGCGTTCGAAGAGTACCATGGAGTGCTGCATGCATTGGCAAAGGCAGATTCAACGATGTCTTTAAAGTTGAACTGTTAGTAGTTCTGGAGGTGATTCATTAGAGGGGATATATTACGAAGAATAGCGAGGTCTACCAGATTGCCCTTAATTTTTTCTTGTTTAAATACAGTTATTCGAATAAATCCCAGTTAAATATCGTCCCTATCCCAGTTAAATAATTCATCTGTCACTGGTTAGACTCGCTTTCGGCTGGCTTATCGGTTAAAGCAGCATACCTGTTCTACTGGTACTACTATTATTCTATCATTTTTTGTCGAAGCAAAAAAATCGAGTGTCTCTTCACCTATTGGTACTCCATTTAGTTCTCATTACACTTGCATAAAGTTCCCCTCTGTGAAGTTGTCTGCATTCTGAGAATTGTGGGTCAAAATGATCGTGGATCGAAGTTCCCTTTTTGAATTTTCTGAAATAGGCAAACAATATACTTTGATCTATAAAAATGACTGATAAAGGTAATAAGTAATGTAGGGCTTTATTTTGTCGAATTACTAGGAGTAATATGGTACCGCAAAGGTTGCTGGTAGGTTGAATATTCAAATTGAGCAACAGTAGGCTGTGCTGTGTATGGAAATATTGCGGAACAAGCACCATCGCCGATATGTGCACAAAGGGTTGAATCGATAGTTGCTCATTGACGAGCCATCCTATTTGCATGTGGAACCTGTTTATTGCATTCAATTATCAGCCTATTGCCACCTTTTATGCAATAAATGAGGAAAAACAACGCGATGAGAAGCACTCGTTTCAAGATTTTAGAATAATATAGTTAGAATAAAATTCACTTTATGCAGAAAGTGTGAAATCACGATTTTTACCATCCGATTATAGTTATTTCAAATTGTGCTATTATTTTGCAATATCCTCTTTATTTCATCTTTAAATTGTTAATTTTTATTTTATTTTATTATTATTATTTTTGTTTTTGTCATAAATTCTTATTATTTGTTATTTTAACTGTTGTTATTAATACAAGCACATGGCATTTGCGCTCTGCTTGGCTGGTTTTCAATAAATAAATAAGTAATAATAGCGTATCGTTTATCGCTTTTATACAAATTTTACCCATTTTTTGTGTGGTTGGCTTATCGTAAGCCATTTCTCCCTTTGTTCATTTGCCATACCATTTAACAGACAGTTTGAATATTTATTTTTCGTTATTCATTTTGTCCACAAATTATTTTGTTCATTGCCTTCAAATATTATATAATTATATAATATAATGACTAATTTAGATAAATTTTGCAGAAAATAATGGTATAATATAGAGATAGCAGATAATTTATAATTTGATATCTCATTTGCAATATTTTAAATATTTCAAAGAGAAATGGGTAATTTTGAAATTTTCATCACTAATTTGATCATCAGATTTATAGAAAGCATTGTATTTTCTTATTTTTTCCATATTTCTTAGGAGTAAACCCGTGTAAAAATCCAAGTGGTACTGGTGACTACTCACCTGTACTTCTATCCACAAGTGACTCTATATTTTGTATATTATATTTGTCTAATGCGACAAGCAAGCAGAACGAGTTTAACTTTTTAAAAAAAATATGCTTAAATAAAATTTCACACCGAAATATCTTGATAATTTACTTTGATAAGAATTTTTTTGAAGAAATTTTTTTTAATTTGTCGCAAATGGACGACTTTTATATCAAATGTATGCAATTTTATCAGAAAATGATTAGGAATTACTGAGAAAATCACTTAATGAAAAATATAAAAATATATATAAAAATTTAATATAAAAAATACAATATCACCAAATCACGAGAAGGGATTAAATGGATTTTTCAAAAGATTCAAAGCTAATAGAAGCCATTCCTTATTCCATTGCATAGAATGGAAACTGTGGAGGAAAAGATGTAGCCCTGACGGACACCAGTTTTTATTTCAAAGGAGTCTATTAGTTTCTCAGACTTATCCACAGACTTGCGCCAGGGTATGCCATAAAAAAAAATATAATTTTGCATTTATATGCATAAAATGCCTTTATGAGCTGAATAATTTTCTTCTCTGGGACACCGTCACATTCCATCACTTTCCAACCCATGCTAAATTGCTTGCCTGTCCAAAACCTCATAGTTCTTCTTTAACATCCTTCAATCATTGTCGCAGTCCGAAAGATCGTTGAATTTTTCTTGAATTTTCAAATACAAATGGTATCGCCAAATAAGTGGCAATAATTGTTAAAGAAATCGTATGTTCATAATGTTCACTTTTGTGGATAGATTTACTAAATTTAGTCCAACCATTTCGAGTTGCAATAGAATCGTTAAGGCTATGCTTATGTGACAATCATAATTAGTGATAAGTGATAATAGCGCTTAAATTTTACTGGAATCAAATTCGATTCATCTACAAAAATTTTATTATTAAATGATTTCTTGTTGAATGGAAAATAATAATTTATTTTAATAATAATAAAAATAAAAAATTTAATTTTTCATTTATTGTCGAAATAATCCTTAATTTTGCATTTTCCTATCCATTTATTTTTCTATTTTCTATTTATTTAAATAATTTATTTCATAAAAAACTACTTAAATAATGAAAAAAATATTTTATAATACTTTAAATAATAAAAAAATATAATTGCATTTTGCATTTACAATTTTTTGTGGTTAATTCGTTGCTTTTAGGATAATACGAACAATTCGTTCGTTACAAGTTATTAGTTTTCAATTTTGGCCTAAAGCAGTTGGAAAATATTGCTAAATTCATTAAACAACAACAACCGATAAATAACAACAACCGATACAACAATAACCGATTGCTAACAACACATTTTGGTACTTAGTGAATTCAATAAAATTGTCGTAAATAACAACAACCGATTGGTAACAACAGATTTTGGTACTTAGTGAATTCAATAAAATTGTCGTAAATAACAACAACTGATTGCAAACAACAGATTTTGGTACTTGGTGAATATGATTGAATAATTTTTCGAATGAAAAATAGAAACTAATTCGATAATCTAGGTTTTTCGTTATTTTAGCTGATAGTGATTTCTTTTAAAAATTAATAGAGGCATATTAAAAGGCAATAAAAAAAAGGCTTCGAATGCTTTGATAATCATGCGATCAACGCCATATTGCGATAAGAAATAAACATTAATAATTTTTCGAATAAGATTAATAAAAAAAATCGAATAATTAAAATTTATTAGAACAATTTCGGCTTTCTACTTTCTGTTTTAGACTTTCGTTATATAAGCAATAACAACGGGTTAATTGGCTTTGTTTTGTAAAAAAAACCTAATAATAAGTTATTAAAGACAGTTCCGAGTGATTCCAAGCATCAAATCCGAATCTTCCTGTAATTCTAACTGCAGATTCTAAGATGATGATTTTATGATGAAAGTACCAAGCCAAGTATTTTTTAAATTCAGCAGAAAGTGAAATATGTCGTGACGACGAAGAATGCGCCTTAATCAGAATCGGACTCAGGGTCAATGTAACTAAAAAATAAAATGAAAGCCTTTTCGTCTTATGTGCAAGAAGCTGATAAAATATTTCTTTTTGTAAATTCTTTGCTGATTGA